CTCGTGGCTGAGGGCTGCTGGGAGCAGGGGGTGGGGCTTGTTGCATGTGCCTGCCCCCTGGGCTCTTTACTGCCGGAGCTCCACTCCTGTGCGCTCCTGCAGGAAATGACCCCTGGTAAAGGTATGTTGGTTTGTTGGTGAGAAAAGCCGTATGCAGATGTCCCAGTCATGTGGACACTCACTGCACAGGAAGGAAAAGGGCATGAGCATGCTGGCCCCACTCCCTGCCTCCACGTGATTGCCAAGAGGTCTGCATGAGGCAACTGTGCAGGGGAAGTGCCCACACACCCCCTCTTTCCCCGTGACCAACAGTGTTCCCAAACCAGCGTTGCTGATTGGGGGACGGGGTGTATGCATGGGCACTTCCTCTGCATGTTTGCCCCATGCAGACCCCTCAGCGATTGCGTGTGGAACTGGGAAGAGGAAGTGGGGAAAGGGGAGAAGCTATGGGGCTGCCATGGAGAGGGAAAGAGGAAATGCTGTAGGAAGGGGGCAACAGGGAAGAAACCAGGTGTGCCCTGCAAGTCCTCATGGGTCCGCTGGTTGTTATCTCACATTCCCAACGGAGGCTCAGAGAGCCAGCATGGAGTGGCTCTTTAAATGACCAGGACAATTTCTAGTGGGCCAGTGCCCTGGAAGATAGGCCGAGAAGTAGTCCAGCTCCTCCATACAAAGAAGGCTAGCGCCTCTTCTTCCATGCAGGTATGGTTGTAGTGGCTACCGCTTGCCCAAGCTGCCCTCCTCATGAGAAAGAAGAGGCTGCGCCTGCTGTTCCTTCTTTATGAAAACAGCAGCCCAGGGTGAGTGGGGCAGTAGCCACCACACAAGGGTGGCCCAGGCATGGACATTGTCAGTTCGAACACTTGCACCTGGATTGCCATCTACATGAGGAAGAGACAGTGGTTGTGGTGGCTTGGGGGCTGCTACTGTCTTGTTCCAACTGCTGTTTGCCCAGGTGCATCACAGCCCTTCACATGCCAAATGGGAAGTGATATCACAGAAGTGATGCAGACTTTTGTGTGTGTAAAGTGAGTGACAGGTGATTTATGGAAACCCAGCAAGGAGCAGGTGCGAAGCAGAGGTGGTTTGCCATTGCCGTCCTCTGCTGAGTCTTCCTTGGTGATCTCCCTTCCAAGTACTGACCTGGCTTAGCTTCTGAGATCTGATATACCAGGGGTGGCCAAACTGTGGCTCGGGAGCCACATGTGGCTCTTTCACACACATTGTATGGCTCCCAGCTGGAGAAGCAAAGGGGAGGCATACCCCCTCCCTCCCATCTATTTGCTTTCTTTGTTTTTCTCTCTCTCTCTTTCTTTCCACCTCTTTCATGCTTTCTTTCCACCTCTCTCTTTTCTTCTTTCTCTTAGACAAATATCATTAGCAAACAAATAAATATCATAAATATCTGTTTTACCCCTTTTGTTTTTTATTTTTTGCAGTCTCATTTAATGTTAATAAAAACAAATTTGCATATTTTAAAATAAAAACATGCATATAATATTTGCTCATGTTCTGCAGCTCTCCAACATCTAACATTTATTCTATGTGGCTCTTACGCTGAGCAAGTTTGGCCACCCCTGGGCTATACCATGCCACTTTCCCTCCCAGGCCTTTTTCTAGGGAAAATTTAATTTCCCAGTCTACCTGCCTCTGAGACAGCTGACCTAAAGTCTCCTGGTGAATTCATGCCAAATACAAACCTTACTGATTCAAGATTTGTTGCTTTTTTGTAAGACCGGCTACCTACAGCTATGTGTGGGCGGGCAGGTTGTTGCCAGTGTTTCCAGGCTAGTAACGTACAGGGACTTATATTTGCAAGGCTACGCTGGCAGTCCTAGAAAGAGAAATATGGTCTGTATTCAGACTGGCCTGCCAACAATGTCAACATTTGAACTACAGCTTTTAAATATAATAAGCTCTGAGGGCACAGTCAGACATTAGGTGAAGATCTTGGGTCTCCATTACTTTGGACAAGGTTTGGATTGGGGATGCACAGAAAATCGAACCTTTCAAACCCCACAGTTTCACAATTCAGAAGCAGGAAGCCTGTACTTTATTAGTGTTTTATAAGGAAAAAGATGTGTCTTTGAAAAAAAGTAAGATGCTCAGGATTCTAGAAGAGAAAAAGAAGAGATTGGAATTGTACCCCACCCTTCACTACCCGAAGGAGTCTCAGAGTGGTTTACAATCCCCTCCCCTCCCCATAACAGACACCCTGTGAGGTAGGTGGGGCTGAGAGAGTTCTTTTGAGAACTGCTCTTGAGAGAACAGCTGAGAGAACTTGTGACTGACCCAAGGTCACGCCAGCAGCTGCATGTGAAGAAGTGAGGAATCAAACCAGGTTCTCCCAGATTAGAGTCTGCACTCCTAACCACTACACCAAACTGGCTCTCCACTACACCATATAGCTATGTTCTGAGATATATATAAGAAGAAAAAGAGGAAGAAGGATTGGATTTATACCCCACCCTTCACTACCCGAAGGAGTCTCAGAGTGGTTTACAATCCCCTCCCCTCCCCTCCCCATAACAGACACCCTGTGAGGTAGGTGGGGCTGAGAGAGCTCTCTCAAGAACTGCCCTTGAGAGAAGAGCTCTGAGAGAATTCATGACTGACCCAAGGTCACACCAGCAGCTGCATGTGGAATAGTGGGGAATCAAACCCGGTTCTCCCAGAGTAGAGTCCGCGCACTTAACCACTACACCAAACTGGCTCTCTTCTGTTTTTCACCAACAGAAAAGCTTATTTGATCCAACCCAATGAGTTGGATCCAGCCAACTTTTTTCATTCTGCGTCTCCGAATTCCCCTCCTTACTACAACCCCTATCCTACTTGGCTTTTGTCCATGGAGGTCCCATGATCCCCCCACCACCACCACCAGCATAGCCTTTTGGGTGTTTGAAGGAGAACCCTCCGCAACAACCGCTTCTCTGGTCTACTGTTCTCAGCAGTAGAAGCTTAAAGAAAAAACCTTAAAGCTCAATTTGAGACTGTTCAGTGTAAAATTAGGAGAAAAAAGGGTGCTTTGAGGATGTGCGGAGCTGCCCTTCTCTCGCCATTGTTAACTCGCCCACACTTGGGATTAGAGGAAAGGGTTTTCTAGGCCAGGAGGCAAAGCTTTTGAGCAGGAGCAGACACCCTGCAGATTTATAGAATAGGCTTGTAAAATTTAATAGAATAATATAGCAGGTTGTAAAGAGCCATTTTCCTGGGTGCCTGTGGTGAACGAGAGTGACATCCAGGTGAACAGTTAGGTAAGCATTGTATACTGGAGTCCTCCAGTCAACCACTCAGGCGATTGTTTAGAACAGAACTTTTGTTTAGGACAGTTTAGGGGAGCCGATGTAGTGTGGTGGTTAAGAGCAGCAGACTGTAATCTGGAGGGCCAAGCTTGATTCCCCACTCCTCCTCCACATGAAGCCTGCGGGGTGACCTTGGGGCCAGTCACAGTTCCCTCAGAACTCTCTCAGCCCCACCTGCCTCACAAGGTGCCTGTTGTGGGGAGAGGAAGGGAAGGTGATTGTAAGCCGCTTGGAAAATCCTTAAAATAGAGAAAAGGGGGGTATAAGAAACCAACTCTTCTTCTGCTTTGTCGGTGGTGGAAAGTGCCGTCAAATCACAGCCGATTTATGGTGACTCTGAGGTAGTTTGCCATTGCCTGCCTCCATGTAACAACCCTGGACTTCCTTGATGGTCTCTCGCCCAAGTAGTAACCAGGACTGACACTGCTTAGCTTCTGAGATCTGATATGATCGGGCTAGCCTGGGCCAGTCAGTCAGATTTTATTAACGGCCCACGGCCATAATATAAATAAATACTACAACAATCACGCTTGAGATCAAGTGTAGCCTGGGTCACTGAGGTCAGGACACTTTGTAGGGATGAAAGGCTAAAGCAGAAAGAAACATGGAAGGGGCTTTCTCTTCCTTTCATAGCCAGCTCCTAGCAATACACCAGTAAAGGGTGAAGAAAAGGGCCCAGAAGGTACCTTGAGCCAGGTTCATCAGGGCTCGCCTGGGAACATAGGAAATCACACTGAGAGAGCATGTGTTCAATACTTCAACATAATCACTGAGTTCAACCCACTGGAATCTGGGAATTGGGCCTCAGGCCCTCCAGATCAGACATTTGGGCTTTGCTCCCGGCAGGTCTGAGTTCCAGTACCTCTATATTGTAGAAATAAACTCTGGCTTACTCAACATTCTTTTGTGAATAGAGCTGAGCAGTGGATACTTAGTAGTGAAGAAAAAGCTCTCTGCACATGCTCACCAGACCATTCCTAATTTATTAATATTGTTATTAATGATAATAGTCAATAATCATTTTATTACTACTATCTTCTGGGGTGGGACTTTTTGTAAAATTATGGTAAACTGCTAGAAGAGCCTATATGTATGTATGTCTGGGTCCGAAAGTTGGCCAGTGAAGAAAGCTGACAGGAAGAAAGTAGATTCATTTGAAACGTGGTGTTGTGGAGTAGGGTTTTAAGGATACTGTGGACCAACAAATAAGTGGGTTCTGGACCAAATCAACCCAGGCTCTTCCTAGAAGCTAAAATCACTAAACGGAGGCTATTGTACTTTGGCCCCGTTATGAGAAGACAAGTGTAACTGGAAAAGACAATAACACTGGGAAAAGTTAAAGGCAGCAGGAAAAGAGGAAGAACCAACATGTGACGGACTGACCCGATCAAAAAGCCATGGCCCTCAGTTTGTAAGACCTGAGCAAGGTTGTGAATAACAGGACGTTTTGGATGTAATTAATTCATAGGATCACCTTATGTTGGAAGCAACCTGACTTCACTTCACACACACAGAGAGACCAAAACTGGTTGGGCTATCCAGTAGCATATAAATATTAGTGATAAACTCCTACAGCTAAAGGTAAAGTGATACGCAGTGCCGTTAAAAAACAGCATGGAATAACCAATATCCACACAGTCTCCTTACACACTATCACCCCTCATGTTTCCCGTCCCCACTCACTTGAATTCTGGTTTCAGGTCAGGCTTGAGGCCGTAGAAGGAAGAGGAGAGCGTGACCATCCAGCTGGCCAAGAACTTCCCATCCTCGCATTCCAGGAACGGTGGTGACCACTTGATATGGTCTGTATCCATCACATAGCTGTCTCCCCGGCTCCATTTGGGAGTGTCCAGTGTCTTGAGGTCGTTGCTGAGGATCCGCTTAAAGAGCGTTGGGGACTTCTGAAACCGGAAGAAGTTGTACCACTCGTTTTCCCAAGTCAGGTTCCTCAGGCTTTCAGCATAGATCGAGAGATCCTGGAGTAATATCTCATTGTTCTCCTTGGTGGCCTGGAGCATCAACTGGGGCTTGGAAGACACTGGGTGCGCATCAAAGGTCAGCATGGCTCTGTACACTTGGGAATCTCCTTCCATGATGCTCCTGACCAAAGCATGGTACCACTCCACGTCCTCTTTCACGCTAGACTCACGGATGTCATTGGTCTGGAAGACCATGTTGAGGAAGTTGGTAGCATGGGTCAGGGTTTCGATAGCGCTGCGCAAAGAGGAATGCAAGGCCAGAGGAGGGCTAGAGGCCTTTCCCACATCCCTCGCCTCAAATCTCTGAGTACAGTTGGCTTGTGAGAGGCGCGAGCTGTCCCCGGAGTACAGGAAAGCCACCGCGGCCTCTGATCCCTCAGGATCGTTCTTATCCATGTTCGGGGTGGGCACCCAGGTGAAAGGTGAGGCCAGAGAAGCTGAGGAGGGAGGCATCCATTCCTTTGCTTTGGGTGTCCTGGTCTTGGTCGGAGCGGCGAGTTGATGTTGAAAGATCCCGGCTGCCCAGAGGGGTTCCAGATGGAAGCACCAGAGAAGAAGCCCCAACAGACTGATCTCCATGGCTCGGCAGAAGGTTTCCCCTCCCCAAAAAAGCCAGAGTCATCTGGCGGAGATCATTTCCAGCTACGGGGAAGCCCTCCTGGGAAGTCCCGATGCATCTGGTAGGGGGATCAAGAGATCCTCAGGAGGTGGAAGAGGAAAACCAAGAGAAGCGGAGAAGGAGGCCGTCCATCTCCAAAAGGAAGGTCCCCAAAGAGCATTGGCACGCACACAGGAAAGTGTTCTCTACCTCCTTTGAGAATTTGGAGGACTTTCGCTCTCTGCCCCTCTCGGTTCCTCGTTTTCTCTCTCTCTCTTTGCTTCTTTCCTCCCTAGCTGGTGATGGAGCAGACGTCACCAGAATATGAGCAGCTGCTGGCACTGCACCCCCCCCTCCTCTCCCCTCTTCGACTACTATTATACGCCTGGGCTTTTAAATCTCTGCAGATCCACACATACATACGCGCGCACATATACATACGCGCACACGCACAGGCGTAGAGCTCTATCACTTGCTAACGCTCGGAAAGGAGAAATCCCATGTAAGGCCAGGGAGGGAGGGAGGTTGGAAAGGGAACCGTGTCTGTGTGTCTCTCCCTCTCCCTCTCTATGTCTCACTTTAGTTCCATTAGGGGATATAGGTCTGACAGTGATGCAAGCAAACCAAATCCTGCATGGAGCGCCATGGCAACGGGAAATTTGTCTTCCCACCTCACCCCTCCCTTTCCCTCCCCTCCCCGCCTTGATTCCCCCCCCTCCCATTCATCAGCCTGACTAACACCATGATAGTCATTTATAAGGTCACCTACTGCCTACTGATGTTTGTATCACACTGCTCGATATAATTAACTGTTCAGGCACCAGGGAAGGGTGGAAGAGAAAAGGAGGATGGAGCCGTCGCAGACAGGGTGTTCTGTTCTAGAGCTGTTTACATGCCGAGATGAGATTTAAAAAAGGAGGAAAGGATGGGGAAGAGTTGACTCAGAAGAGAATGGCTGGACCGGTTCTTTGCTTTCTTTTCTTTTCTTCGCATCAAATTCAACATGGCCTGGTTTTAAGGTTACCAGCCCTTAGTCCCAGAACCTCTCCCCCCCACCCACCCCAGCACCTGGAAGACGAGACGCTGCAATAAAGAGTGTCCCTGAGCATATGCAAAATGGATTTTCATCACTGTTGAGTCACCGCAAGTGCACCCAGCACTCCTGGTAATTCCAGATGGGTGGCCGTGTTCTTCACAGAGCAGCAAAACAAAACAAGACTCCAGTGGCGCCTTGGAGAATAACAAAATTGATTCCAGCGTCAGCTGTTGTGAATCAAAGCGCCCTTCATCTGATACATTAGAGCAGGGATCCCCAACCTTTTTGAACCTGTGGGCACACTTTGAATTCTGACACAGCAGTGATGGGTGCAACCACAAAATGGCCTCCTGGGAAGCCTAAGTGTGGGGGATAAGATGGGTACATTTTAAAAAATGCACTGAGAAAGAAGAGTCAGAGAGCGAGAATAAAACCAAAGCTGAAATGGCAGCTGTTGCTGACATTTTATTTTAATCTTCACAGCCAAGTGGATTTCAGCTGGGCAGTCAGAAGCCCCACTGGGCAGAAGCCCACCTGGCCCCACACAGAAGAAGAAGAGAAGAGATTGGATTTATACCCTGCCCTTCACTATCCAAAGGAGTCTCAGAGTGGCTTACAAACTCCTTTCCCTTCCCTTCCCTTCCCAAAAGAGAGCCAGTTTGGTGTAGTGGTTAAGTGTGCGGGCTCTAATCTGGGAGAACCGGGTTTGATTCCCCACTCCTCCACTTGCAACTGGCTGGATGACCTTGGGCAAGCCGTAGTTCTGATAAGAGCTGTTCTTGAAAAAGAGCAGTTTCTGTCAAGAGCTCTCTCAGCCCCACCTGCCTCACAGGGTGTCTGTTGTGGGGAGGGGAAGGGAAAGGAGTTTGTAAGCCACTCTGAGACACCTTTGGGTAGTGAAGGGCGGGGTATATCCAATCTCTTCTTCTTATTATTATTATTCTTCTTCCCCACAACAGACGTCCTGTGAGGTAGGTGGGGCTGAGAGAGCTCTTTCGAGGACTGCCCTTGAGAGAACAGCTCTGAAAGAACTTGTGACTGACCCAAGGTCACGCCAGCAGCTGCATGTGGAGGAGTAGGGAATCGAACCTGGTTCTCCTAGATTAAACTCCACGCTCTTAACCATTACACCAAACTGGCTCTCTCACTTTCTCAAAATATTTGGCGGGCGCCAGGAAAGGTGTTGGCAGGTGCCATTGCACATCCGGGCCCCATGTTAGGGATCACTGTACTAGACCATGTGTCCATTATGTCAATCTAATTAGTACATAGTAAGTATACTCCTATGCATCTGAGGAAGTGTGCTCTAACTCATGATGCAGGAATAAATAGTCTTTAAGGTCCTACTGGACTCCTGGTTTATTTGCCAACATTCCTGGGATTCCATCACTTGGATATGTCATTTTATAATGCTTGGGGGTTTTTCTGGGTTTTTTTTGGTATTATAGTCACTTCGATAAAAATTGGTGTGTGTGTGTATTTTTATGCTATGCTTTTACTGCACATCTATGAACCGCAATTTGTAAATTAATGCGGTTGATTGGCTCTTGCTGAATTACTTTGTTGTTTGCCATGACCCTTGCTCTACCTTGAAATAATCTGGACATGACTTGAGTTAACCATTTGCCGATAGAGTGAGATAGAAAGAAAGAATGGATTCAAGGTAAAGGTAGAATTGGGGAAATGCAAAAGAGGAGGAAACAGAGATGAAATACTTGTGTTTACACATTTGTGAATCAAATTGAAATGAAGTTATCTCCTTCTCCTCTCCCCACGACAAATCAATATTTCAATTTTATCTTTCCTCTGGAGACTTTGAAAGTTATTCAGATTTAGATCACGGTGATCTAAATTAAATTGCCAGTGCAGGTTCTCCCCCCTCCCCTCTGTTGTTCGCATTGCTTCTAACATGATTTATTGAAATAGCTTAGAACTCAGTTCAGCTCTGTAGCCAACATCCATCAGCTGAATCCAGTAATTCCCATTCTGTGAAATGATCTTTCTTCAATGGAGAAAGACCTTCTCCACTGGAGACAGTCTTTCTTTGTATGAGGAAAACTTGGCAAAAAAAAATCTTCTAACACTGGGATCCTTAGCAGAGTTATGCCTTTCTAAGCCCAGTGACTGCACTGCCCTTAGAAGTATGCAACTCTGTTTAGGATGGCATTTCTGAACTACTACAAAGGGATTCCTAGCTCTGGAAACACCTGGCATAGCTTTTGGCTGTGATCTTATGCACATCTCCTTGTGAGTATTTGTTTGGGGCTCTGGCCAGGAGATCCAGGTTTCTCAGAAATCCCAAGGAAACAATATGCTAGATCTAGGGTTGCTTACAAGGAGATTTTAATAAAGCATCAAACTTATAGAAATAGCTGGCTAAGCTCCCATCCGCTGGACCTCAAGAACACACACACACATAGCTAAAACTAAGCATCTTATATCCTAAGTGCTGGCTACCGGTCAAGAAATCATTAATCAAGCTATCTCGAACATTGAGATGAGCCTGGCCATCTCACACCTGGTGTCTAGTAGTGAGAGGAAACCAGGCTTTGAAGATAAGAGCTGCTAGCAAGCATGAGAGAGAAGAATATCCTCCTGGGAGTGACCCATCCCCTCACAGAACTCAAGGCAACTGAAGGTCATAGCACCAGCCTTTGACAAAGATGGAATCACAAAGGCTATATACGGTAGGTTCCACTGAAGCAGGTTCTTTCAAGTCAACATGCATAAGATTGGGATGTCAGTTACTGCAAGGCGACCTCCATGGTAATTCAAGTCAAGAAGACCCGCCTGGGAATTTAAGACCATGCTGTTCACAAGCAAATATATGAAGAGCGGATTCTTGCATCCTTCTGAAGGTATACATAACCCCTCTACTGCATGGTTTCACTCCCTTTTCCTTGAGTGGAGGCAGACCACTGAGAACAGCCTTTCCAAGGATCAGAAGAAGTGCACAAGTCAGTGGGATGTTCTCCCGAGCTAGCCCCATTGAAATGAACCAGAGCACTGGTCAATATTCTGTGGACTGATTCCCTCTCCCTTCATTTACTGGCTCTGATCCAGGGAATTGTCAGAGGACTGGAAGCTCTCTGCCTGCTGCTCGACTCACAGAAGTGCATCACCCAGAGCATAAATGGGTAACAAAAGGAGTTGCCAGCTAGCAATTGCATTCTGCTATGCTCCGGCATCAATCTTTTCTATACTCGATACAGACAACTGTAAGCAGTAAATGCATACAGAGGAAGACAGAACATTTAGCAATTGTGTAAACAGGGACACCAGCCTCCAGGTGGTACCTGAGGATCTTGTGGAGGAATACAGAGAACAGTTCTCCTGGAGGAAATGGCTGCTTTGGAGGGTGGATTGTACCCTACTGAAGTCCCTGGCCTCCCCAGGTTCCATTCTCAAATCTCCAGGAGTTTCCCATCCTGGATCTGGCAACCCTACCCTCCTGTCCTCCACTAGTGGCCAGGGGGACCTGGTAACTCTATGTGTAAAAGAGGGTGTTTTGGCAGGTGTCGTTTGACAGATAGGGGTGAGAAAGTTGGACTCCTCTTTTCTCTTTGGAATACCTGTTCAAGACACAGGCCATCTTGATCATTCTATAATTGTGTTTGCTGGACTGGATTGAGCGTGTTCATGAACAGTCTGTGGCCTCACAGCATTTCAGCCAATGGCTGTTGCAAGGGGACTTCCTAGTGGTGTGTTTTTGCTTAATCTGAGGTAAAATGTTTTCTAAATCTGAATCCTCAAACTGTGATTCCCATACAGTGTGCCAGGGTATCGTCCTAGCGTGCCACAAGAGAACGGCTAGTGCCGTGCAAGGATCTCATGAGCTGAAATTATCAACACATTAAGGAGGCTATCAGCTGTACCTCTGTGTGATTTACTGTTTGGGGTGTGCCTCGTCCTCCCTTGAGAGTTGATAATTGATAGTCTAAAAAT